AAGCCCTGATATAGGCTGAAAACGAAATAGGGCCTGCAGGCCCTCGTTTTCAGTTTCAGGCTGAAACGACATGGGGGCCTGTAAGCCCTATTTTCTAGGCTTTTAGGCTGAGAATGCGGGACGGGCCCTGCAGGCCCGTGTGGCTACGCAGTATGCCACACCCCCCCCTCCTTGAAAGACCAAGTTTACCTGTGAGGGCGAAGCTGTCTGTCTGAGGGAGGGACCACAGTCCGGGTGGGAGGGGCTGGTCGTGAAGCTTCCTGAGCTAACCTTTGCTTCTCATAATGCGCGTAGATCAGCGGTGCGGATGCTTTCAAATCTGCTCCTGAAATCCATCGAGTGTCGTCGCGATCGCATGCTTTGAATGTAACTTTGTACTGTCGCGGCTTGCTGCCGTACTTGCGATCGGTGATGACGCGGTCAACTTCCTGATGACCATCCATAGAAGGAGGGTCCTGCGATCGTCGGCCCAGAAAGTCGTCGCTCTTAGCTGGCGTGTATGTTGCCAGCTTCGAGGCATGAAAGACTGGATGGACCGTCAAATGCGGGGGGGTGTTGATCACAAATGAAGGGCCATCGAGCTCGTCGCCCGCGGCTGATGTTACGGGCCATGGTCCAAACCACTTGGGAAGCAGTTTGCATGAGACATCCTGTTCCAGTGCAAACTCTTCCGCGGAAACCCAAACCAGGTCGCCGGCGCGGATGGGACATGGCACGCGATGCCTGTTGGCTTGCTGCTGCATGCGGACTTTAGCCTTTTGCATATTCGCGCAGGCTTGAGCCAGCAATTCCCTATACTTCCGGACGGAAGCGGGAGAGCAAGCGGCATCGATGTCGGCTGGTCGTGGGAGGAGAAGGTCGGCGAAGATACGGCCTTTCCGTCCACCGTGGTGCAACTCGAATGGAGTCACGCCGATCGCCGAGTGCACCGAAGTGTTGTAGGCGAACTCGATGTCGGGGAGGCGGTCAACCCAATCTTTCTGGTCCGGACGGATGAGCGTACGAAGCATCATTTGAGCAGTCTGATGTGCCCGCCGGGTACTTGCTCCTGCACTCGCGGGGCAAGGACTTACTATGTGTCCCACGCGACCGCTGTCTTCGGACTCGCCTCCTCGGCGAGTATCATGATTCGCGACTCGCCGACCATCTCGGAGTCAACCGCACTATTGCACGACTTCGACAGCGATTCCGATGGCCCGACCTCATGACCGACGTCACGAGGTATTGCGACTCTTGCGAAGTTTGCCGACAAAGCAAACCCCGCAACCGCAACCCCTACGGCGAGCTGCGCCCGATGTCGATCCCGCAAGAACCCGGTCTCTCCATTGCCATGGATGTCACCGGGCCATTCCCCAGCGACCGCCTCGGACACGACGACATCCTCACGGTCGTGGACCGATTGAGTAAGTACGCGCGTTTTCTCCCTTGCAAGTACTACTCCACGGCTCCCGAGCTGGCACGCCTCCTGCACACCGGCTGGATTTGCGGCCATGGTGTACCGGAAGACTTAGTCAGCGACCGCGACACTCGTTTCATGTCGACATTTTGGACTGCGCTCATGCAGGAGTCCAGCACGAAGATGAAGCCAAGTTCGGCTCGGCATCCACAGTGGCTGGCCGGCGGGTGATCCGAAGATAGTTGCGCATATAGCGTGGCGAAGTCTGGATCGGACTCATAGCCCCTAATGTGTCATAGCGCAAAGATCAGGTCTTCGCGAGAGTGCATCTGCTGCGCGATTGGAGAGGTCGGAAAGATGTTTCGGTGTGAAGTCAAATTGGTCGATGAAGTACATCCATCGTCCGATCATGCTGCTCACCGTATCCTACGTCTTATAGTAGGTCAATGGATTGTTGTCCGTTACCCATGTGAACCTACGACGCCCAAGGAGGAAGTGCCGCCATCGCTTGAGAGCCATCACAAAAGCGAGCAGCTCCTTCTTCCTTGCATCATCAAGCGAGTTGATGGGAGGCACTTTGTGGCTGAAATACTCCATAGGGTGCCAGTTGTCGCCGTCGTGTTGTTCCAAGGCTGCCCCAATGCCATAGCCGGAAGCATCAGTTGTCACTCTCGTCGGCAGGGTGGGGTCAGAGATGCTAAGGACGGGTGCCATGAGCATGGCCGTCTCGAGTGCTTGGAATGACCGGCGTGCGTCGTCATCGAATACGAATGGCACCTTTGGCGATTGTAATCTCGTCATAGGTGCAGCAATCCTTGCGTATCCGGTGATGAATCGCTGATAGTAGCCCGCCAACCCCATGAATGAACGAACGTCCATGGTGTTGGTGGGCTCGGGCCATACGTGGAGGGCCTCGATCTTGTCCGCGAGTGGACGGATGCCTTGCGGCGTCACATAATGTTTTAAGTACTCCAGCTCCTGCCGCACGAATTCGCATTTGTCGCGGTTGGCTTTGTACTTGGCTTGTCGTAGCAGCTCCAAAACGGTGCGCAGGTGTTCCACATGCTCGTCCAAACTCCGTCTGTACACCAGGATGTCGTCGAGGTAGATAAGTACGAATCGATCCAGCATGTGTCGAAACTCCGTTGTCATAGCCGCTTGGAAAGTGGCCGGGGCATTCGTAAGGCCAAATGGCATGACCAGCCATTCGAAATGCCCATATCACGTCTTAAACGCGGTTTTGTAGCGGTCCTCCTTCCGAATCTCGAGTTCGTGATATCCCGACTTGAGGTTCAGCTTGGAGAAGAACTTGGCGCCGCCCAGTCGCTCGAGAAGGTCGTCGATGCGTGGGAGAGGGCCGGCGTTTCTGATCATTTGCGCGTTGAGCTTGCGATAATCGATGCACAACCGCAAATCCTTGTTCTTCTTCTGGACGAAGAGAACAAGAGCACCGTATGGCGATGAGCTAGGCCGAATCCAGCCTTTCTCCAGAAGGTCGTCGAGTTGTGCCCGAAGCACACTTAACTCTTCCTCGCTCATTCGGTAGATGCAACCGCGCGGAGGTACGGCCCCGTCCTCGAGGATGATCTCGTGGCGGATGGGACGATCCGGTACTACTCCGTGCGGGCCTTCGAACACGTCGCCGTAGGCGTCGAGAAGCTCGGTGATGCGTGGATCCGAAGATGAGTCCGTTGGTGAAGCGTCATGGGGCGGGAGGGTGTGGAGAAAACAGACCCCCATCTCCTCGATGTCGTCTCTGATGATGGAAGCTCGCATGCTTGCGGCGGATACCACGTGGCAGTTGATAGAAGGGTGAGGAGGAGCCACCGTGCATGGGACTAGTACTCCGTTCCGATCACAAACGTGAACGGTGCGGCGGTAGAAGCTCACCGGGTGGTCCTCGCTTCGCAGCCATGACATGCCCAAGATCATGTTGAATTTGGTGTCCAGAATGTCAAAGGACACTGCCTCACTTGCGTGAGGGGCAAAGTACATTGGGACGTCATCAATGCACCGGTCGATTGACTTGTGCGTGTGGTCGTTTGCCAACGTGACTTGTGTGGGCTGGGACTTCCTCCGGACGCGTGGGCCAAGGCCGACGCGCACCATGAAGTCCTGGCTGATGTAGTTGTGAGATGCTCCGCAATCGATCAAAGCGCTGCAGGTCGCCTCTCCGATTCGAATGCGTACATATAACACTGGTGCCTCGAGGTCGTTGTACCGTTGCGTCTTGAACTCGCGGTCGATCTTCGCAATGTAGGCGTGAAGGTCGACAACCTCTACTCCGGCGTCCATCAACGCAGTCGGTACTGCAGTGTGCAAGTAATCCCGCAATTGTGCCATGAGCACGTTGCAATGCGGTTTCGGCAATCGACCGGACCGGGGAAGGGGCATCCATTGGAAGTCCGCAAAAGTCAACGGGTCGAGCTCTTCAAGTCTTGACCATGACGTTGAATCCCCGGCGGTAGATGGCGGCGAAGCTGCCGAATCGGTTGCCAATGGTGATGAAACCGTGCATGCGGTAGATTGTTGCACGTGGAGCGGTTGGTCCAGCGGTGGGACCAAGTGGACAGCATAGTCCTCGTAAGTGTACCGAAGACTTGCGACATGCGCATCCTCCCCAGATGTGTAGGAGGCCGCTAGCAAGGCAGTCGAGTCTTTACCATGACGTTGAATCCCCGACGGTAGATGGCGGCGAAGCTGCCGAATCGGTTGCCGATGGTGATGAAACCGTGCATGCGGTAGATTGTTGCACGTGGAGCGGTTGGTCCAGCGGTGGGACCAAGTGGACAGCATAGTCCTCGTAAGTGTACCGAGGACTTGCGACATGCACATCCTCCCCAAATGCGTAGGAGGCCGCTAGCAAGGCGGCCGAATCTGGCGGAGTGAGAGGTGGAGTCGCCTCACCTCCTGCGCGACTCAGTTTCCCGAGTTAATACGAGGCCGAACATCCTCCTTGCCTTGATCAGGGCATTCGGAGGTCTTGTGCTTGGTGCTGTTGCACCAATAGCAGCAGTCGTAGCGGCCGCGGTACTTGTACTCGACCTCGGTCAAGGTAAACTTGACCCATGGTGCTGGCTGTCCGTTTCCAGCCGGCGACGCGGTTTTCGCCTTCCCGTTTCCTCGGGGCTTGTTGTTGCTTCGGGGCTAGACAACAGCCACCTGATCTCCCTCACGTGACGCTTGGGTGGTTGCCGGGTCTTCCACAATGTTGTCCGTTTGGACTGTAGCGAACTGCTGCAGTCGCGGACCAGTTCTCACCTTCTCCACATAGGTTGGCTGCCATGCTGACTTCTCGTGTGCAGCTGCCCTGTTGGTCTTGATGATCTCCCTCGCCTTGTCAATGATCTCAGCGAAGGTTGCATACTGCTCGCGATCACCAAGAGCAAGGCTCAATGCAGCGCATGACCTGTTGTAGAACTCACGGCGCAGATGCGTAAATGGCAAGTCGAGATCGGGTGTTGCCGCGATCTTCTTCCATTCCGTGAGCTAGTCACGTGTTGCTGTATTGCCTTGCGTCATGTTGAAGAGACGGTTGATGGCGAGTGCAGGTGCGTCGTCCACGATGAACCGCTTCTTCCACAGCCGTGTTAACTCTTCCCATGAGATCTTGTCTTTCCGATCTGCGACGTCGACGCCGTGGGTGGCTGCCAGGTGGGTTAACCAGACCTGGCATCCGCCCTTTGAGTTAAGAAACAGGGCGCCGATGTACGCGTGTTTGGCGACTAACAAAATCCGAAGCTGCGTCGTGAAACCTTCCCACCAGAGGACCGGGTCCCGATGCGTGTAGTCATCGAACTTCTCAATTTGAAAAGTTGGCATCTTGTAATGCTGTGTGCTGTTGCCATTCGTGTTAGGCAATTGTAGTTGCTGGACCTCGGTCTTCAAGGTATCCAGCTGATTGTCGATGGTGGTCGGCTCAGCGAAGGTGCTGATGTCCCCGAGCATTGCGACGACGTGGTCAACGCGTTCCTCCGGTTGGCTGTTAGAGGGTGCACTGCTGGACACACCAGCATCTGGTCCTGGTGCAGCTTGCTCTAAGTCCAGTACACGGGAATTGAGTGCCCGTGTAGCATCCTCGTGACTCTGCACTGTCCGGCGGAGGTTCGCCAACTCCTGGTGCTGTTTCTTCAGATCCTGGTACTGTTGCTGCAGTTCCTGGTTCTGTCTCTCTAACTCGGACTGTTGGTAGTTGCAAGCGTATAACAACCGTGTCACGAGTTTGGAGAGGAACTCCTTGTGCTGCTCCTCCGGTGTTGCGTCGTCGCCGTTGGACGGTTGAAAATGCCAGAACTTGAGTCTTTCGATGCTGGCGGCTTCGTGCCGCTGCAGCAGATCCTGGGCTTCCTTGCGGCGTGCCTGGGTGTCTGCTTCAGCTTCGGCTTGGAGCCGCTGCTTCAGCCTGTAGGCGGGCAGCCTCAACTGCCAGCTGGCGCTATTCCTCAGCCTCGATCAGTGCGAGCTGAGTCTGGAACCGCTGTTTGTAGTCGGCAATAGACTCGTTGGCCAGTTGGCATGGCATGCCCAGAGCTGCGCCCGTCATGGTGGCGGGGCACTGCTGACGTGGCACTGCTGATGTGGCACTGTTGCTGACGTGGCACTGCTGACGTGGCACTGCTGACGTGGCACTGTTGCTGACGTGGCACTGCTGACATGGCACTGTTGCTGACGTGGCACTGTACCAACCCGGAAATGCATGCAAAGGGTGGGTGGGGAGGGAAAACGCAGGTAGGGAACCAACCCAGCAATACTTTCCTTCTGGCCGTAATCAACAGATAAAAAATAAATAAAAAATAAAAGAGGACTACTTCCTTTTTTCTTTTTTTTTTTTTGTATATTTGTCGATCTATTACGAGTGCGACATGTCAGAAGAGTACTATGAACGAGCTCTAGGCTAGGTTCCGCAAAGTTTCGGCTTTCACAAAATGCGATCTTGAAAAAAAAAATTTGCGAGATAGAATGGAAATTCGATTTTCAGAAAAGAATAATTCCAGTTTCCGAGAATATGACCACTTCTATTGTTATCCCAATATGCCTAGAGAACGAAATACTAACATCAGAAATTTTCAGCTATGTATGCGAAATATCGGAGAAACGAAATGCTACTATCAGGAAT